CCCCCCCCCCCAAAAAAAAAAAAAAAAAATTCTTTACAAATATTTGTCTTTTAATTGTATTAAATATTTTGGTGATTATCCTTAGAACCAGGTGAAATTCATGAACATTCCCTTTGAATTACATGCTGAGTTATTAATGTAAATGCTGGTGGTATACATAGTTATCACTTCCCTATAAAGAATTAAGTGGTTTACACCATCTCAGGTTACTGTAATATTAAGTAATTTAATTTTGTTAAACCATCTGGTACAAAACATTTTAAGTGGATTGTTGGTCTGTGACTGATGTAGTGGTTATACTGCCATGACTCAGTCTTCCAGACTTACAAGTGACATCACCTCCTTAAGACATGTTATGCTTAGGTTATAGAAGTTGTCAGCAGTAGAACTTGTATTAGATGAAAGTCCTGTTTTAATGGGAACTTTCTCATTCTGTGAATATAATGTGTAAACCAGTGAACAAAAGGAAAGGAAGACAAAATTCGACATGTGTACTCTGATTCTGATTGTTGATTGCAAAAAAGAACGTGACAGACAGACACGGACAGGCCCACTCCAGGTCTCTTTAACATAGTGACCTGTTACAAAAGAGGAACAGTTGTGCATACTTGAAGTGCAGCAGGTCTATCAGTGTGCTCAAGATGTGTGCACTGTAGCCACGCACTGCAACTATGTGTCCCAGCTTGTTCAGCTCTGCTCTGCAGTCAAACCCATGGTCTGGTTTTCCCTGAAGAGAGTGCAACACATCTTGGATTAATTCTGAAATAGCAAGCAGTTGGTCTTCATATACATGTCCAATCCTTGTTAAGTGTTGCTACTACATAAACTGAACATATCTGTTCAGTTCTTGCTGTTTTATTTAGTGTGTTTATGCTTTCTTTAGCAACGGGGTCAGTAGCTCAGATACATAGTGTCAGGTGATGTGATAGTTCTTGGATAATGAATGGGATGGGATGTTGAAGGAAGACTAACCCAGTGTTTGCCTGGAGGAGCTGAGAATAACCACGGATAGCTCAGTCATAGCCAGTCTCCTGATTGAGATTTGAACCTGGGACCTTCTGAATACAAAGCAGGTGTTCTAATGGTTCAGTTATATTTGGTCAGTATTTGCTGTTGTTTCTCCTAATGATTAAATTATACTGAACTATAATTTTACTTGTTATATATGGGTGTGAAACTTGGTCTTTCACACTGAGGAAAAAACAAGAGAATAGAGTGTTTGACAGTTTTTGTTCGTAGTGATCCACAGTAGACTGTTGCATCTTAAACACTGAACAATATGAACTTCATTAATCCCATGTTGCAGAATATTTCTTGGGAAGGTAATGGTCACTCAACTTTACAAAAAATTCCTGTCTGGCATGTATATATATTACACCAATCAGTGTATTAAAATTATATCTGTAGACTCCAACCATCTTCTGCTAAAGTGTATCCAATGCTTACCACAATTACGCCAACCCTCAGGATGACACTGGTCATGTCGTGTGACCGGGCGAGCAGCTTATCCATGTAGGAAGGCAGTTGTGTAAATATCCCCCATCCACTTCTCTTTGGGGCATAGTGCCACTGGGCATTGAAATTGGTGCATAAAGGGGCATCTGCACCCAACTTATAAGCATCCCACACGACACCTGTCACTTCATTGAGAGTGGACCAAAAACTGACAATGTTCACATGACTTCCCACACCAGCCTATAAATGAAGACAGTGCTGACAACTATATGTTATTTAAGCATGTTGACTCATCAAAGGTGATGGGATCAAAAATTTTTTGTGTTGGATAACAATAAATTTTACTACAGAAGTTTCTTTGCAAATTGCAAGAAATTAAAATGTTTTCACATCTTCAGTGACAGGAACTAGATTCTTGCGAAATGCACAAAACAGACTGCCTGATTCCATATTACTGCCAAATGCATTCTCTGCCAGACCTCATTTTTTTTTGCTACCAGAGTTGTCACCATCAGAACTTAATTTCCTTATTTTTCTCATTGCGTGAAAGGCACACTCGTACAGACAATAGTGATAGTTGATGGCTGTTGTATTAGGATTAAACAGATTCATTAGACAGGCAGGTTTTGAGAAAGTGTTTTTCAAAAAATATGCTAATGAAATTAAAATTTGTAATTATGATGTTACTCACATATAAAATGAAATAAGGTAATTCACATCTTGGAGTTATTTGAGATGTGTAATGGCACACATAAATTTCTGGGGGTTAGTGCCCTACCTGTAGATGTTGGAATCTTGTGTGTGTTGTGTAGCCAGTTTTGTGAGGTTCATATCCACTTTCCATTACCAGTAGCCACCACGAGAACATTTTAGTGAAGAGTCCACTCTGATTGGCCTAGAAATGTAAATGATGAATAATGGTTATGAAATATCCTCACCTGAATTTTATTTTTTGACTGCCAGTGTATTAAAGAAAAGAATTAACAAGAACAGACAGGTACACATATTTTATAAATATATGTTATATGCAGACATGCATTGCTATATGGACTAATATGTTTATTGCAGATGAAAATTTCTTTCTTTAATCATATTCATCTTGTTCTGAAATTTTATAACTTTTTATGATATACAGTAAAATATGAGTTGTTTAACAGAAATAAGGAGCGTATTAACCATTTAAGGCCAAGTGGTAACTATATATACCACGTGATGTATCAGTAATTATGCATTTTTTGCAAAAGTGTACTTATTAGTTTCATAAGATTCTCGGAGTAAGCAGCGATTATTTCCCTTACTGGAATTAACTGTTTGATCTTTGTATTGGTTATAGGTTGTGTTTTCTTTTGGGCATGGACTGTTTAAATTTTAAGATAAGCTTTGGCTTCAAAAAGGTTAATTTGGTTTTATGTTAAGTAAACAACTAATTAAACTCAATGCAGTAGAGATCTTGAGAAGCTGATTGTCACTCAGTTGGAGATAAAGTTCCTCAATTTTTATGGATTATGAGGTTCATTAATGTCTTCAGTAGAGCTTGCTTAAATAAATACCACATAAACATTGACAAAATAACAGTTATATTTTAGGTGTGATCTGTAACAGTGACTATATATGGTCTAAGGTGTGGGTGTTGCATGCAGATGCTCAGGATACTTTGAGCTCATGAAAAAGAAAGAGACCTGAACTATAAAATCTGTTTTGAGAAAACAAGATGGGAGAACAACAATAGGCATGGAGAATGCCTCTTGAGGTGGCTTGAAGAGGATGTCATCTCCAGAGAGAAACTGTACATAAACGAACGGCAGTCTCTTGGTGCCCTGGTACAGAAACTCCTGGTCATCTGAAAAAATCACATTATACACTGTGACCAATTTGAAATTAGATGTAAATGTGACAATATTAAATTCAGCAGCAGAATTTTTCTTTAATTAGGTGGTGACATTTATGTGCCATGCAAACTGACAAATAACATGAGATTGTGTGGACACATTTTAAGAGTGAATGAAGAGACAATTTCAAAGAAGATATTGAACATGAGAGTAAAAGAAAAATGCACAACAGGAAGATCAAGATGGAAATGATAAGTTAGGAAAGACGTCACACGGAAGGAAGTAAGTCCATGCGAAGAAATGGAGGAGGAAATGTGGGAAGACAGAGATTGATGGAAAAGCTTTATTATTGAATGATGTGCATTAAGTGGAAACATATTAGTAAGAAAAAGCAGATGTAACGGTTATAAGATAATGATTTACTCATTTGGGAAAATGGACTGCGAACCGCTTCGTCACATTTGATTAATTACCTGAACAGTATACTAGCACAATGTGACGCCACTGCTGCAAACATACCAGATCTTCAACAAAAGTAGAAATAACATTATGCAGTCGTAAAGCTGATGTGACAGTAACTAGCATAAAGCATGGCAGCCCCAAACTGTACTTCATAGCTGCATAGACCACAGGCAAGTGACAGTCAGCACCAGGATTCCTTGGTCAGTAAAGTGACAGGTGGCAGGCTGAATGTCATTGGTTCAGTTCATTGCCATTTTCCTCTATATCACCATGTTTAGTGGACCACTGAGCCTCCTGAAGTGCGGCAGTCACACACAGCATGTAACTGACAACTCAGCTTCTTGTAATGCTGAGGTTAATTCATGGAAAACCTGTGAATTTTGAACAAATATTGGACCATGTGAGTTGCATATTTAATTCAGACAGGTTTTGTATGCAGCCACAAGTCAATAGTGGTTTTACAGAGAAATCACTATGTGAATGTACCAGAAGATAAAAATAATGTATTCTGCTACACTACTTTCTCCAATTTTTACTTGTCAAATAACTTAATTAATAACTTCAACTTGCATCAATTTTTCATCACAAATTAATGTGATGCATGTATGATATTAATTTTGAAAATGACAGTTTTTATGTTAAGGCAGAAAAAGGGCCACCACTTGAACCTGATTAAGAGATATCTTTCCATCTATTTGGAAACTATGACAGCAAAGCATATTATATAAGACTTGTGAGGCATGTCAAACCCATTTTTTTAAATTGCATGAATTTTCATGTCTGGAATAATTAACACTGAGAGCCAGCATTGTCAATTTACTTATCTTTTCTGTACTGGTTTAAAATAGTGACAGTGAGTGGCTGCAGCCATGACATATCTCCATTTAATAACAGAGAGAGACAGACATTTGACAAGCTGTTCATACATCCTGACATTCAAATAAGTTACTCCAATAAAAGTGACTGACACAGGCAAACAATTTTCTTAGCAGCAGGTCATTTGATGCATAGTGACATACTGTAGTAATTCTGTAATGTGCCCAAGATTAAATGGCAATGGTATTGATATGTCTCCTGAGAGGACGACTTTAACCTGCAAAGTTGTGTATGATACCTCATTCATCCTTTGGGGTGATAGCAAGTAAAATTGTAAAAACGTGTATCAACAAAAACAGGCCAGCATTTGTGAAATTGACATACAGATGGATGGTCGTGTCAGCTAAGTTTATTATATCGTGTTCGAATTATGGCAGAATAACCATGAGTCGTAACCCCTATCCGAATTTTTAAACGGTTTTGGTTCTTTCAAGTTTCATGAAAATCAGTCTCTTACTATATTTTGATTTGTAAAACATGTAGTCCTTTTAATTCCACCTTTTATTTATATTGTCCTCTAACTGAAATCTAAAATAGCATAAGTGGGAAGTAGAAACATTTTATAGAAAGCATCTAAATATTCCCCACCGCATAAATTTCCATTTCTTGTTTAATTGTTTTAAGCTGTGTAACATAGTACTTTGTAAATATTCAGTGGGCACTTTTCCATTGAGCCACGAATTAAATAAAACTACATATAAGTTTGTATCAAAATTCTGAGAAATCAGGACGACATTTCATGATTTTGCGGGAAGTTTTGCTCAGCTGCCAAGAGGGTAGAATCGGTAATCAATGGAACGGACCCACGTATGTGGCAGTAATTCCTTGGTTGGTTTGCGCAAGGTCTTTCGATGCATCAAGGCGTTGAAGGGTGGTTCGTGGATGTATGGTGTGGCGAGGAAAGGCAGCGTTTTGGGTTTTCTTTTTTGCTGACACGTAAGTCTTCTCAGAACTTGCTATTAAATAATAAAATGTAACCCCACAAAAACGTAATTAGAGGAAGTTGATAATTGCTTAGAACTGCCCGCAGTATGCAAATGACGGGTATAATGTTGAAATAAATCTGGTGTCCGGCGTGGTGCGTATCTTGATTTCTTCTGAAAATAAATTGAATATATAACGGTAATTATTTAAATCTCACTGAAACAATGGTAGTACGTGAACATGTCCTGAAAACACATGACCTTGGCGTAACTTTCATCCTACTTTAAGTGGGTTGATTTCAACCAAGCATCTACGTTTGTCTCCCCTAGTGAATATAGACAAATATCTAGAGTTTCGAATGTATGGTGTCACTTTTATGAAAATTAGGAGCCGTTTGTTAAATCACACTTAACACGTACACACCCTATCGTAATGTTAATGATTACGAACAGGATTAGTTTTACGCCTGAAGCTTTGTTTTAGTTATTCGCAATAACAGCATCGAAACAGGAATTACAGCTACTTACATTGAATGTATTAGAACAACAGTGAAAAAGATCGTTATAGTGAAACAAATAGCTGTATTAAAATAACATATATTTGACATTTTGAAATATAAAACCAGTGTATTCAGCATGTTGACAGTATGCAAAGGGACAGATTTCCCAAAGTATTAAAAATATACATGTTTGGATTACAAATCGGGATGGTCTTCAAGTAGACTGAGGCTGAAATGGGCCAACAAAAGTCTGAACCCCATTTCTTTACATCTACAGGGAGCCTGAAAAGTATCTTCATTCTTAGATAGCACTTACTTTCTTTCTTGGGTGTGATATGAAGTCTGTTACTCTCTGGAAGGAACATACTATTAGGTACTTTGAAAATAAAGTTGTGAATTGAACATGTGACTTGATAGCATCCCCGCAATTCTGACCCGTCTTTTGAAGCCATGGGACATGTTATACTGTTGAGTAACTTGTTCAGCATATTTTCACATAATATGTACCAAGAAAAGTCTGACAAAATTTGTTATATTTCTGCTTATGAACACATTAAACTCATCTAACCAATCTTTCAGTTGCATTGGCAGTTATAGTTAATCAAAATAACAACATAATACAAGTGTTGAGTAATAGAATTGAGTCTCACATGGCAGTGTCAATCTGTTCTAGAAGTAGAATAAATAGCAATATAAGAATATTTTCTTGTAGTTTTGCTGCAAATATGTAACTATATTAAAACATGGTAGCAAACGAGGCTCGAGTGCCTGGTCTCTGTATTATAAAGATATTCCAAACCATGTTTCCAACTGTCTCCAGGACCCCAGTGCTGATTGGTGATGGACATGGGTACTTTGGATCCCAAAGAGCTGACTCACCTTGAAAGATAGAAGAAATTGAAGCTGCAGATGGGTCAGAAAGAAATCATCTTGATGATGGAGGGAGCAAGAACCTCTGAAACATTGGTACATTTCTACCAGATTGCGTGACGTCACACCCCAGAAAACTGCCATATTCATACTCACTGCCACGAGGCCCTCGAATCGTACCAAACTAATGTAAGTTTTAATATTACTTTTCTTTATTCTTGGGGCTTCATGCCTGACTATAAGTAGCTGCAGAGCTCTCTTACGAGGTGTGTTCAAAAAAGACCGAACTTTGTAAATAGCGTGCCAACAGGGACAGAGTGTGTGCTGCGCCTGCTGAGCGCACCTAGCGGCAGATTTTGGCGACAAACTACCATTTGCTGCGTTCCGCTATGAACATTAGTCGTCAAGCTACATCCGCTGAACTGAGCACGTGCACAAGCTGTTCATCAGATTAGTGACAAAGTGACAATGCATGTATGTGTGAAATTTTGCTGCAAACTTGGTAAAAATTTTACAGAGACATTTCAATTGCTTAGCCAAGCATACGGGGAGGACTGTATGAGCCAAACGCAGTGCTATGAGTGGTTTAAACGTTTTAATGAGGGCAAAACGTCGGTCGGTGAAGATCCCAGGCCTGGACGACCATGTCATCAGAGTTCGTGCTGTGATTCGTGGAAATCGTCGTTTAACTATCCGAGAAGTTGCTGATGAAGTGGGTATCAGCATAGGATCTTGCCATCAAATTTTGACTGAAAAACTTCAGATGCGTCGCGTCAGTGCAAAATTCGTGCCGCGTTTGTTGACTGATGCTCAGAGAGAGAAATCGGTCAGGAACTGCATGCCAATGCAAATGGTAATGAAAACTTTCTTAAGAACATCATAACAGGAGATGAGACATGGGTTTGTGGCTATGATGTTGAAACCAAGATGCAATCGTTCCAGTGGGCGGGGAAAGGGTCTCCTTGACCAAAAAAAGCACCGATGAGTCTGTCAAATGTCAAGGTGATGTTGGTTATGTTTTTTGATTGGAAAGGCATTGTCCATCATGAATTTGTACCACGTGGTCAGATGGTAAACAAACAGTTCTACCAGAAATTTTTAGTGTGTTTGAGGGATGCTGTGCGCAGGAAGAGGCCTGAATTGTGGGGAAACCAGACTTGGATGTTGCACCACGACAATGCGCCGGCTCACGGGTCGCTCCTCATCCGTAGTTATCTGGCAAAACATCAGACAACCGTTGTGCCCCATCCAACCTATTCTCGGGACTTAGCCCCTGCAAACGTTTTCCTGTTTCCCAAACTTAAAAGTACTTTGAAAGGACGTCGTTTCCAAACCATAGAGGTGGTTCAGGAAAATGTGATAAGAGAACTGCGCGCCATCACAGAAAGTTTGTTCCAGGAAGCATTCCAACAATGGAAGAAACAGGAACGGTGTATCACCAGTAGAGGGGACTATTTTGAAGGGGGCAGAGCTTAAAATGTTGTGAAATTAGCAATAAAGTCTTTATAGCAAAAGTAAAAGTTCGGTTTCTTTGAACACACCTCATATTATTCTTCTGCTTATTTAGCTTACTGATGGTGTAGGAATTTGAAAAACCCCTGTAATCAATCCCATCATGTAATGGATTTGTTGTGCAATTTTCCATCCACACTTAGAACAAAATCCAACTGTTATCGAAATTATTACATTGGAGAAAACCACCATGATACGTCATGAAAATGTTATATGAAGGAAGAAATTTGCTTGAATATACAGTACTTGGGTTGGGATCATAAAAGGAATACAAAGGATTTATAACTCAATATGCCATCTTCAAGTGCTCTTGTACATTGAATGTTATTAGCATATGCTAAAAGTATATGGTTTACATCATGGTTGAGTTGAATGGATCCATATTTTTAACTGAGAATTGAGATGAATTCATGTCTTGCTGCTGTGGTAGAATGCAGGAATGATGCAAGATTGAGGATTCGGGGTATTGATGCCATGTAGATGGTTTCTACAAAGCTTTAATTACTAATGTGAAAAAAAAAACAGGATGCTACCTTTCAAGATAGTAAGAAAAATATTGGATACTCCACAACCAAGGAATAAGGTTGCCTGGTGTGTGTGTGAAATTGCTACTTGCCTTAATAGTGTCAAGGTCTAGTGTTTTGATATTACTCTCTCCTGTGGTCACTCTAATGTGTATGTGGTAGCTGGCTTAATGTATGGCATCTTGTAACACCTAAGCTTTGTTCCATATCAAAATACTTTTTGATTTGTATTGTTCTTAAGATCCAGAGTAAAATCTCTAATGTTTCAATGCAGCGAGCAGCTTTGCCATGTTCCACAAAGTGGCTATTACGAACTAGTGGCAGAAAGGATCATAGGTGTTTCAGAACTGGAAATGACTTGTATCTAAAGTCATTCAAGAAAGTGTATATGGGTTGATCACTCGTGGGCAATTGAGAGCCAGCTGAAAACACTAGTTAAGCTTAAGTGGGAACATTACATTGAAATGTTGCTGTAGTAATGCAGCTCATCTTGCTCTCTCATGGAGAATTTATTTATATTTGCACTTCATATTTCTCCTGTGCTGTGGCTTTGGGTAGACACAGCTAAACAGACTTTCCATCCATATTTACATCTCTAAATCCATCTTCTGGGTTTGAAGGCTTTTAAGATTATTTTGGGGATCCTGTCTGAGCTGTTCAGTCTGTTGGTACTTCAAAGCACTGGGACAACTCCTTCCATTACATTTTATGCTTGAAAAGGGTATGTTGTTGTAATATTTGTACTCTGTTGCAGAAATGCTGCCATCATATCCTCGGAAGTGAACGTCACAGTTACCTGCTTTAGGTGTGTCTAAATGGTGCAGACGATGTTTCGCGTGACCCTGCTAGGTTTAGAGGTGAGGAGGTTGAATGTAGAAAATTTGTTTTGGTGTAGCAAACCACAGAGATGTACAAATACTGCGCAAAACATTGTAACGTATTTCTAAACATAAATTTTCATAAGTTATTCAGCTAGGATGTGATGAATGAATCCTTCAGTTTCCATCCTATTAGTTGCATTTATTGTCCCTTAAACAATATATAAACAGAATTGATGTTCTCTGAGAGGATGAGTGTAAAAATAATTCGCTTGTTCTTACAACTAAGTGCCAACCTAATCAGTGGCGGCTCGTGAGTCTGACCATTGGTAGTGCTGCGCAAGGGGGAATACTCAGAATAGTTTTCCAACACATAACAATATAAATAAATGAAAATTAAATTTACAGTAGGAGAAATCCCTTACGTGCTTGACGATGTTTTAACTATATGTAAGTACTGAAGAGGGTGGCCATGATTTTTTACATAACTTTTTTCACTCAAAGACAATTTAGAAAAAGTAATTTGCTGCAACTATGATACACTGATTTATTGAACACTCATTAATAGGGTTCGGATGTTCATGACCTAAAAAACCCGAGAAATATGCCCCCCCCCAAAGGCAAAATATGACCTAATTAGTTACGAAAAAATATTTGCCAAAATTTAAGAAAAAGCGTTTTGTATTTCATTCATGTTATTTACAGTGAAACCTCGACGCAACTTTTTGGCGGGGGTGGGAAATAAAAACGGTGAATACGGGAAAACGGTAGTTGCGGGAAAGTATTAAAAATTTAAAAAAACTGAATGTTTCTCTTTCAAAGTTACTTCTTTTTACCAAAAGTCTTTAATGGACAACTGGTTTGTCGAAACTTTACGTTTTAGGCCAAACAGAGCTCTTTCCACATTCAAAATGTTTTCCTCGTCAGGTTCATTAATATTAAGAGCATAAAACTACTACTTCACTTTCGCCAATGCTTCGGGCTCGCATTCCTCGTCTTCCTCTTCCTCACCACTCCCACCCCCTTCCCGGACAATAACAGGAAGAATGGAAATACTATTACTGCTGAAGTCAAGGAAACATAGCTGTAGAAGACCCAGAACCACTGGAAATGAGATGAACCAGAAGAATGAAAAGTGCCTCCAGCCTTTCCTTTGTACTTGTAATAAATGCATTTGTGAAGAAAATCACAATGCACATGCCATCTGGCATCCCTGGAAGGAAATATGAGTGCACCCTAATTAAACTCCTAAAATATCTGACAATGTGCACCACCATTCACTCCAACTATCACCCCTGCACCACTGACCCCTCATTCCAAAGAATGTGCTGGTTGGGGACATAACAGGTTACCGCTACTGCGTATTCCAAAAACATTGTGCGTCTTTCGGTATTAATTTATCTCAAAACCTAGCATTTTAAATTCTAAAAACATCGCGAAAATGTCATAATTTCTCAGAAACGATCATTGCGGGAAAATTGTGGGCCAGGACTATGATTTTTGAACGATCGATGCGATAAAACGATAGTTCGAGGAACGATAGAAGCGGGAAAATGTAACATTATTTTGTATGGGATGTATCCGGGAACGATGGATAGAGGTTTCACTGTATTTACATATGCATGTACAACTATTACATTACTTGATTTCCTAGCAATTTTAATCAAAAACCTCAGTCCCTTTAAGTTGTAAATACCTCCTTTTGGATCAGCATCAGATGTTGAGAATACGTGCTCCTATAAAACTATGATAATTAAGAAACAGCCTTTCATCCATTTCAAATTCATTAATAACAAATAAATAAACAGTTCAAAACATTAAGTACCTTTCTTCATTCTCCTTTCTTGGCAGCATTACAATATATAACAATGTGCATTGTCAAGGTCTCAAATGAAAATCTTCTGAGATTGTCACACAATATGGCCCTGTAACTTGAGAAGCTCCTTTTGACATCACAAACGTTTCATTGCGTCATCGAAAAGTACAGCAATAGAAGAGTGGTTTACTCTATCACGAAGGAATATGTCACCAGGACAGTCAGCAAAGAGCGTGCCAATAACAACATTTGCTGCATATCTGCTGCAGACATCCATTGTTTCATCAATCAAAAATCCAAATCTTATTGTCGCCCTCAGTACATGTAATTCTTTATAGAACATCTTCATAACAAGCAGGTACATAGTTTTTTGTAATGTCGATTCGCCTGGAATTAACTGAGTCGTGTATTTTTTCAAGAAAGCTTTGAATGGCTCTTTGTTCACTTTGTTCAGTGGCATGTTGGCAGACACCACACAGGTACTTTCAAAATTCCAATGTTTTGTTAGATGGTGAAGGTGTTGCATTGTTATCGAACAGAAGTCGTTGCTTGCTTTGATGACTGGTTTGTCGGCTCAAATTATTTTTATGTTTTGCCGTATCACAATGTTGTTGCACACTAAATCGCTTACCAGCTGTAACTTTAACTTCACAAAATTTACAGGACAGAATTGTTCCATCAGAACTAAAAATTTTCCTCGCCAAAATTTTAACGAAACTTCAAAACTTTGCACTTTTCAAAACACTTCACTTTTAGCATCTTAACTAACTGAAGGATTCACTGTAAATGCCTGAGAAATGTAGTTTAAAGTAAGAATTTTATCCTCAAAATATAACCAAAATATGCATTAAACTACAAATATGACCAAAAACATTAAAATGGCCTAAATATGCATTTATATGCAAAATGGAGAGCCTTGGCGTGGGCAGGAGTCAGAATTGGGTGAGGGCATGTCACAGCTTGACCAGCAGCAGGGGAAGGGAGGGATAGAAATAAAGAGAGGATGAAGTAAGCGGCACCAGCATATCTGGCTAGAGCAAGCATATACGTCTGCCATGGGTGAACACGGCATCAAACTCCAGCACACCACTGTTCTTTACACCAGACACATGGACTGGATTATCAGGGATGCCAAGCTACATCTGAACTTGAATGGGGATGTGCTTTGCCTGAAGCCCTTGATACATTCTGTCAACGGACATAGGAAGCATCCCATACAACATTGCCAGTCTTGCTCAGGGCACATCACATCCACTCACCTCCCATATATCTGGTGATCCTATGGCAGGAACCTGTTGTGCCCTTATGAGGGCCTCTCTTTCTCCTGCATGTCCCCAGCTCCTATTGGTTCCCAAACCCCATTGGTTAGGCCAAGGCTCTTCCTTCACTGCGTCTCCAATAACTAAGTGTTCCCACACGTGTGGCTTACCCTTACCCTGATTGATGTCTTCCATGTTTTTCCTCAGTTGTAAGGTGAATGCCAGGGTATAATTCAATAGGGGCACAGCCCGCCACCCCCGATCACGGAGGCCGTCAGCAGAAGCGGTTCAAACCACAGAGAAACAACCAAATTTTTTTGACAAGGTGCCTGATGGTATCCATCAGCAGCAACACATCTTAGTTTCAATGGTCGAGGCTCCTGCCATGACAAAAATCTGTTAGTGTAAGCAAATTCCCGTTTTAGTTATAAGGCTCTGTTTACCATTTCCAGCAATGCGTTTTGTACGCAGGAATGGTGTTACCTAGCAAGGGACGATGTCTTGCTCTTGCGCAGAACTCCACCCTTAGTTCGCTTTTTGGTTGGGGCTTACCCACCTCCCTGATGGAGAGAGGGACCTCTGAAATGTCACTGAACTTCTACCAGACTATGCAGCACTCACCACAGTGAAAACCACAAATTGTACTTGGTGCACACTTGGGTACCTTGCCAGCACTACCTGATCATCATAATCATCAAGTATTAGGCCAAGTGGCCTGTTATGGTTGCATTCCATCTCTTTAACAATCTTCCCAGGCTTCTCTTTCCTTTCGGTCTGTAGTTCAAAAGTTGTTTGATATATAAATGCTTATGTATTACCCTCTAACGTAAGTCATCCATGTGTTCATTCCTACTACAATAGTAATATTTCCAGCACAGCAACACACTTCCATCAGAAGTAAAACCACAGCCTACTATAGACTATACTGTATCGAAGATGAAAATGATATATTTGTTTTTCTAGGACTGCCATAACTGAAGAAGAGAGACTGTGTCATCTGTGCAGGGAGAAGTTCTACATTATGCACTACACGGATGGTCTCGTGTTCCAACCACCACCTACGTCACCTGGGCTGCATTAGCAAGTTTCACAGGACCCAACATTAGCATCATCTTCAAATGGAAACCTCCGTAACACTTATTACATGCTGTATAATTATGTTAATGTTGGTACCATTGTCTGTAATCCATCGTCTTCGTTTCTCTCGAGTACAGTGTTTTGGAATCTGTACGTCTGTTATCAGGCAAGAAAACTGGAGGAAACTTCCCACTCAGATGGGCCCCTTGGAACGAGTGTTTCCACACGTGTTGCTTACCCACCACCCTGACGATGGAGAGGACCTCTGAAATATTGGCAAAGAGCCTTGGCATAACCAGTGCCGACTGGAGTCAGAAATGTGAGGGCCTGGGAACTAACAGGAGCAGGGCATGCCACACCTTGGCCAGCAGGAAGGAAAGGGACATGAGAGGGAGAGGTCTGAGAAAGCAGCACCAGTGCCACATCCGGCTGGACCAGTCAGATAAATCCGCTGTGGCCGTAACATCCCATACAGCATTGCCAGTAAGCCATTACCCTGCCCTTTTCAGGGCACACCACATCCACTCACCTCCCATATGTCAGTTGATAATATGGCAGGAACCTGAGGAGCCCTTATGAGAGCCCCCCATGTCCCCAGCTCCTATTCGTTCCCAATCCCCACTGCCAGTCTCCTATAACTAAGTTTTTCCATTACCCTGACGATGGAGAGGACCTCTGAAGCATTGGCAAACTTCAACCAGACTACAGGAGCTACAACAAAGAAGACAGCCATCTTCAGACTCACCAATAAAATTTTTATTAGCGCAGCAAGAAATATTAGTTCCCAGAACTGCCACCAGATGGCACTATTTTTATTAGCGAGCTAAAATTTTATTTATAAAATTTTTATTAGCGCAGCAAGAAATATTAGTTCCCAGAACTGCCACCAGATGGCACTATTTTTATTAGCGAGCTAAAATTTTATTTATAAAATTTTTATTAGCGCAGCAAGAAATATTAGTTCCCAGAACTGCCACCAGATGGCACTATTTTTATTAGCGAGCTAAAATTTTATTTATAAAATTTTTATTAGCGCAGCAAGAAATATTAGTTCCCAGAACTGCCACCAGATGGCACTATTTTTATTAGCGAGCTAAAATTTTATTTATAAAATTTTTATTAGCGCAGCAAGAAATATTAGTTCCCAGAACTGCCACCAGATGGCACTATTTTTATTAGCGAGCTAAAATTTTATTTATAAAATTTTTATTAGCGCAGCAAGAAATATTAGTTCCCAGAACTGCCACCAGATGGCACTATTTTTATTAGCGAGCTAAAATTTTATTTATAAAATTTTTATTAGCGCAGCAAGAAATATTAGTTCCCAGAACTGCCACCAGATGGCACTATTTTTATTAGCGAGCTAAAATTTTATTTATAAAATTTTTATTAGCGCAGCAAGAAATATTAGTTCCCAGAACTGCCACCAGATGGCACTATTTTTATTAGCGAGCTAAAATTTTATTTATAAAATTTTTATTAGCGCAGCAAGAAATATTAGTTCCCAGAACTGCCACCAGATGGCACTATTTTTATTAGCGAGCTAAAATTTTATTTATAAAATTTTTATTAGCGCAGCAAGAAATATTAGTTCCCAGAACTGCCACCAGATGGCACTATTTTTATTAGCGAGCTAATATTTTATTTATAAAATTTTTATTAGCGCAGCAAGAAATATTAGTTCCCAGAACTGCCACCAGATGGCACTATTTTTATTAGCGAGCTAAAATTTTATTTATAAAATTTTTATTAGCGCAGCAAGAAATATTAGTTCCCAGAACTGCCACCAGATGGCACTATTTTTATTAGCGAGCTAATATTTTATTTATAAAATTTTTATTAGCGTAGCAAGAAATATTAGTTCCCAGAACTGCCACCAGATGGCACTATTTTTATTAGCACAGCAGCAATTTCTAGTCCCTGAAACCACCACCAGATGGCAATATCATTTATAAGGCACTACTTATACAAAACAACAAAGTATATAAAAAGAATTTTATTAGCACAGCCGGAATTTAGAGTTCACAGAAACTCCACCAGATGGCAACACCACTTACATTCACCAACTCCCAGTACTTCAAACAGTTGCTACAAAACAACTGTTTTCTTAGCAGAACAATTAAAGAGTTCCCAGGGATGCCGCCAGTTGGCAATACTATTCACAAGACGGGGATACTTTAAGTAGTTCCGATTGACAAGATTGAGATAGAAAGTTACATTAACATAAATTCGTAATAAATTATGGCAACTTGTAGTTCCGAAAAACACCGCAATACAGCGTTACTAGCAAAACAGGGCCGCCTAATTCCCAATACCCCGAACATATCGGAAAACTACATAATGAATCAAGAAATTAATTTAACCTAGAAACAAAAGATGGAGACAATTACTCCCCAGACATTAAAGCAGATATTCAAAGAAATACGACTAACCATTGTTACTAAGTTAAATTCGAAACGCATTACTGGACAAACTATTGTTCCCACAAAGTCAAAGTAAATATTTTTTGTAGAAAAATACTATTCTGATACTTTGAATTTTGGCATCTGTAGCAATATTCATTTTAACAAGATCCCAATACTGCTTGCAAAATATTTATATTTGGGGGGATGAAAAGAAAATATACACCCTGAAGACTGTGGAAGTTGGGTGAGGATGTGGGTTGGATTTATAACCTTTATTGGGAACTGTGTATATAGAACTGAATGTGGTATTCTTAGAGCAGCGTACACTGGCCTCCAAATATGAATTTCACAAACCACAATAGTGATTTTTACATCACTAATACTACAAAGACAATTACCATAATTAATTACACAACAGCAACACAATGTGGAAATACAAAACAATTAAGCAACCACTGAGATAGCTGTTTTCTGTAACTTTTGTAGCCACTTTGTAAATTTTGGAACATTCTTATTTTCTTTTTGTTAGCATTCCTGTTATTTGATGTAGCACCTCAAACACATTTAAAACCTTGAGGCCGGATGGCAACTGCATTACCCACGTGCTTCAACAGCCAGTAACTCATTATATATTTCATTTTCATACAATTCTTACGTTTAACAGGGATGACTACTTTATTAAACTGCATTAACAAGCTAATCTTTGTACTGGTGAAGAC